CCTGACCTGTTGCGCGCGGGGACCGCCGGGAATTGTAGTTTGTTTACGTAACTCCTTCACAGCTCCGGTCACACAGCACGGAGGGGAAACGCACACCATTTCCCGCCATCCCTGTTGACTCCGGGAACTGGGAACTTTGCTCCTCCCTGCGCGGGGCAAGCTGGGAAAAGTAGTTCTAAATTGGTCCGTAGTCTATCAACACGAAGGGGCGAGGGATTTAGGAGACAGGAAAGGAAAAGAGGAGGAAAGGGAAGGGGTGGAGACAGGGAGGGAAGAAGGAAGAGACAAAAGAGTAAAAATTTGGTCATCTTCAGAGAAGGGGACTAGAGGGGCCTGAAAGAAAACAGTGAGACCCGGGAATTTAAGACAGCTATAAACATCTGGGACGCATGCCTTCTCAGACTGACCATGTGCCCACCCCTTTCCCAAGACAAACGAATCAGATACTGTACAGCTGTATAGAAACATCTTTTATTTGGGTAACATGTCCCAAAACAGGTCAGTTAGTAAAATAGATTCTAGAGAATATGGCCCTATGCACAGCCCTCCCTCCCCCAAAAATAACCCTGGAGGTGAGTCTTCCCCGTCCCCCTTGGGCTCCTCTAGTATAAAAAAAGTTTTGGCAGCTCAGTGTTTATCGTCTGGGCCTGGGGCACCATGCCCACATTCAGTATTCCTAGGGTGCAGCAGTGGTAGGGAGCCGTAGGTCTGCCAACCCTACCCCTACCCCAACCCGGCAAATGTTTCTGCCCCACCCCAGGATCTGGGACCAAAATAAAGAGCAAGCAGGCCCCCTCCACTGAGATGCTGGGCAGGGCTCAGTGCCATCACTGTGCTTTGAGAAAGAGGGAGGGGATTTATTTGGCACTTTAAAAATAGGAGTAAGCAGGACTGGCAAAGCCATAGAAGGTGCCAAAACTGGCAGAAAGAGGCCATTTGGCACTAGTCCCTTGGGAGAAAGGAAGAGGGAGATAGATATGAGAGTAGGAGCTAAGAAAAGTAGGAGGGGTCCAATCCACTAGCTGAAATGGGATAGAACCAAGAGGACTGCTGACTCTGGGCCTGTGCCCGCTCTATACCTCTATCCCACAGCAGCTGGGTGCCCACTTCTGGCCTCCCCACTGTCAGCTTGTCTCTATGTATAGTGTCTGACTCCTGATTCTAGCACTCAGTGTCTTCTCAATACTGTCCCTTGATCATGTCTCTAGTGACTTGACCATCCCTTGTCCCTTAGGCCTTGTCGCTTGGGCCCAGTCCCCTCTCATTGGTCAGATAGTTCCAAGGCTCCGTCCCTATCTCCCATAAAACTCTGTCGTCCTCAATTCCTCCCTTCCCCACTCCTTCCTATTCCCCACACACTGGAGGAGGGGAGGAAGGTCAAGGGAACCTGACACCCAACCTCCCCTGCCCCTCTTGGAGCCCCCTAGACTTGGATGAAGAGCAGGCCAGTGAGCAGGGCAAAGCCTGCTAGGAGCAGAATGACCTTGAGGATCCTCTGCTCAGAAGTGGCCAGCTCCTGGGGCAAGATTTCCAGGAAGGTTATATAGAGAAAAGTGCCAGCCGCCATGCCCTCCAGCACAGACTGAGCCAGCTGGTGCAGTGGCCCAGCTGACTCTGCCAGAGCTGCACCCAGCCCAATGCCCAGAGGTGTCATGCATGAGAAGAGAATCCCACAGCCAGCCACCACTTGCGCTCGCAGGTGGCTCTGCAGCAGACGCAGGGACAAGCTGACTGCCAGGATACCCTTGTGGAGCAGCAAAGCCAGGCACAGCTCCATGGCCCGAGCCCGGTCTCGCTGCAGCCCCACCGCCAGCCCCTCGAACACTGAGTGTAGGGCGAGGGAGAAGACCAGTACACAGGCACGCAGGGCTGAAGGGGTTGTGGGAGCTCCGCCTGTCTGTGGGACCCCTGACCCATCATGCCAGTGCTGCGGCCCACCATTTGCTGTTCCCAGCAGAGCCCTTGTCTCCTCTCGAGGCGGTGGCCCCGACTGCTCCTTGTAAGCCAGCGTGATCTGCTCCATCACCAGGACAAGGAAGAAGCCCATGGCCAGGATGAACTCTTGCAGGGGGAACTGGAGCTGTGGGCAGAGAGGGGAGCAAGGAGTTCAGGAGACAGGCCAAGAGTGGGGAGGGGGAGTCAGATGCAGAGTCTAGAAGAGTCCCAGTTACACAGACTTGGGGTCCCATACAGACACAGGGCCACTCTTGGTCACACAGAGATACAGAGTCACTTGGTGACAGAGACACAGAATGCTATACAATCACAGATTATGGTGTCACTCAGTGTTACATGTAGACCAAGATTTCTCAACTTTGGCACTATTAACATTTGGGGCCAGATAATTCTTTGTTGTGGGGCTGTCTTGTGCACTATAGGATGCTTAGTAGCATCTCTAGTCTCTACCCATTAGATGTGAGCAGCAAGCACAACATCCTCTCTCCCAGAGTTTTTTTTTTTTTTTGAGGAAGATTAGCCCTTGAGCTAACATCTGCTGCCAATCCTCCTCTTTTTGCTGAGGAAGACTGGCCCTGAGCTAATATCTGTGCCTATCTTCCTCTACTTTATATGTGGGACGCCTACCACAGCATGGCTTGTTAAGTGGTGCCATGTCCACACCTGGGATCCAAACCGGCGAACCCGGGGCTGCTGAAGCAGAACGTGCGAACTTAACCGCTGCGCCACCAGGCTGGCCCCTCCCCCAGAGTTTTGACAATCAAATGTCTCCAGATATTACCAAATGTTTTGGCGGGGGGGAGGGGGGCCTGCAAAACCACCCCAAGTTGAGAATCACTGATGTAGATGTACACAATGTCACATGTAGGCATACAAAGGGTCACACATTGGCCCACCTTCCCAATTGCTCACACACAGAGCCACATACTGTCCCAGAGACATTCAGGCTTACACACAGTCACACGGAGACACAGGTCACTCAGTCACAGCCACATGGAGGGTTACATCCAGTGTCACTTCCTTAGTCTTAGGGAAATAAAGGAAGAGGCCAGGGCGCTTTCCTCATGCCACCACCCAACTGTCTCGGTTTTTCCTATGAGCCTTATGCCTTGGACTTGATCTTCCCCACATCTTACTTCCTTGGGCTATCATCTTTTTGATCAGCAACACCAGGCCCCTAGGAATTGCCTACTACCCTTCCCAGGCCTATAGGGATCTCTATCTCCAACCCCTCAGGAAAGTGGTGAGAGGGTGAAGATGATTCTTGGAGCACTGTTAACTTCCTGGAGGATGGAACTGAGAAACCCACAGAGTAGGTCACACACCTGGTAATAAGGCTCCTCACACTGTCTCACAGGGTACATCATAGGGGTCACAAAGGGACTGGGTGGGGAAACCACAGAAAAAATTATGCCCTATAACTAAAAATCACAATTCATAGGGTCACATGCCAAGAGCCTTCCACACAGTCATGGAGTGACACAGGAACAGATCCACACAAACCACTTCCCTAGAGGTATGTAACTGAACATACCCACACAGACAGGACACATGCAGCTGGCCAGTGCTCACCGTTACATGCAGGGCCGCCAGGGCCTTATCTATGGCAGCCAGGTAGTCAGGCAGCAGGTCCAGGAGACAGGTAGCCAGAAAGACACCCCCTGCGAAGCAGCTTACTAGGCTCAGGGCTTTTTGGCGGGAGGCTAGGCAGGAGTGGAGCACAGAGGGGAATGAGTAAATGAACCCCCTCCAGGCCCCACTATCCCAACCCAAGCAATGGTCACTCTTGCCTTCCCCTCCTTAGGTCTCCTTCCAAGCCTCAGAGCCTTCCCACCCCAGGCATCCGTGGCATCAGGGAAAAGGATAGGCTCACCTGAGGCTTCAGGGTTAGCTCCGGGCCGGCGCAGCACACAGATGGGCACCAAACTGCACATGAGAGTGAGCAGCAGCAGCAGCAGCAGGGCCCCCAACTTCACCTCCAGTCCCACAGGTACCGGGGGCTCTGAGGCTACCGCCTCGGGTCGCCACACCAGGAGCTCTGGCTCTCCCCAGGGCCCCATGGTGGCTGTGGTAGCTCCAGTGACTCTCAGACCTAGGAAGACAGAGTGATTGGGCGAATGGTCACTAAGGAAAAATGGGGCCAAGGAAAGGGGAAGGTTGGTCAGCAGAGTGCAGCTCCCTCATCCCAGCCACTTTCTGTCCTTCCCCCACCCAGTGTGACTCATCTACTCCTGTACTGGGAACATTCCTCTTTCCCCTCAGACTTTATCCTTTCCAAGTGACTTATTCAGAGTCCCAGCAAGGGGGAAACTGAAGTGTGAGGACCGTGTGGCTATCTCAGCACCCTTTCACCTGGAGCTCCTAGAGGACTGAGGAGCCGGGGTCCTCTAAGGAAAGCAGAGGCCAGGTCCCCGCTCCAGGAAGGAATGGATGAAGCGATGGGGCTTCGGGGCTGTGGAAGGATGTCGTGGGTAGCTTCGTGGACCACCTGAACAGGGCGAGTTTGGGTGCGGGATCACTCTCCCCCTCCGGTTTCCCCAGCGCCATCCCCCCGAAAGCAGAGAGCGACCACTTCAGGCCATAGGCTGGGACGTTGGGGCAGATAACTACAGAGGGGCTCTAGGGGTCTGGGGTCTGGGACGGGCTGACACAACAACTGAGGGCGGTGTCTGGAAGTCCGGGCTCCGGGAGGCGGGTTCAAGGCCGCCAGCGTCCCGGGAGGCAGAAGAAGAATGTGAGAGCCAGGACTCCGGCTCCTAGGCCCCGGGAAGGCGGGCGGCAGACCCAGCCTCCGCTCCCGGGGAGGCCGCACTCACCTCCCGAGGGTCTCACTACGAGGCATCCGCGCGGTTCCGGCCGCCCGTCGGGAATTCCCGCCCCCTCCCCATCGCTCCCCCTCCCCCCGCGACTGCTGCGTACCCGCCCCCGCTGCCAATGACAGCGCCCGGCGGGCGGGACCCAGCTGGGAGTGACGTGAGCTAGGAGCAATCGGAGACCAGCAGCGGGAGACCGGCGGAGGCGGGGACCCGGGGCGAGTCCTGGAGAGCAGAGGAAGGGGCGAGGGAGCGGACTTCGGGGCTGCGGGCCTAGGCTGCTGTGTGGAGGTCTGGTGGGCTGAATCTGGCCGGTCGACAAAGGCTTTGATCGATTGAAGATTTTAAAAGAGGAAGCTGGAAACCCTGCGGGCAAGGCTCCTGCCCCATACCCGCCCCCGCATTCCCAAGTCTTCCGCTCCCACAGCTCTAAGGATATCTTCCTGGTCTTGGGCCAAAGTCTTCTTACCTATCTCTTAGAAGATTCTAAGACTCCCTCTGTGCACCTTGGCGCCAAAGCGAAAGCCTTCCCTTCTTAGGACTGATTTCCTTGCTTGACTTCCTTTGCCACCACCCACAAGAAAGAAAAAAGACAAGGCAGAATTGGAAAAGGGGGATGAAAAGAGAGGGCAATTCTGGAAAGTCATCCCTTCCTGACTGCCAACGGCCTGAGCGGACTTCTCTGCAGCCTTCTGCCTTCAAGTGGGTATAGAAGTGGTGGGACCCATCTCAGGGGGTGCTGAAACCCAGCTCAGTGAAGAGCTTTTGGAAGTACGCTCCAATTTACCATCATACCATGCCTCAGGCATCTGGCCAGGTTCTCTCCAAACACATCTCCAACTCTCCAAGTCATCTCCCTCCAGCCCTGCCAGAGTTTTCTGTTCCATGAATGCACCAAGGTGTTTAACTCAGGGCTTGCACTGTTTCCTTAGCCTAGATCCTCTTGGCCCACATCCCTGTGCTACCAGATCTAGCCTCATGGGAGAGGAGGATACAAAGGAGGAAAATAAAGAAGGAGGCTCAGCCTATTCTTTTTTGCAAAGGTGAAAACGCCTCATTTCCTAAAGAAAGGACAGGGTGATCCCTCTGATAAGGTTCAGGACGTGGAGGCCAGCAACTTCCTTAAGAAAAGGGGGAATGGGGGCTGGCCGAGGGCATAGTGGTTAAGTTTGCATGCTCCACTTTGGTAGCCCAGGGTTCGTGGGTTCAGATCCCAGGCGTGGACCTACACACCAGTCATCAAGCCACATTGTGGAAGCATCCCACGTATAAAATAGAGGAAGATTGGCACAGATGTTCGCTCAGGGCCAATCTTCCTCATCAAAAAAGAAAAGGGAAAATGTAGGACTTCTTGAAGGAGGGGGTCTAGGAGAAAGGAATCATATAGTACTCTAAGATCAGGATATAAGTGAAATGCGTATTGGTGTCCCATCATTTAATAATAATTATCATTGCCATTCCAAGCTCTTAATTAAAAGATAAAAATTACTATTAGAGGCAATTCCAGACTATTCAGGGGGATATTATGCATGCTATTGCTTTCCTGTGGCAAACTGTGTTTTCAACAATATTGATAATTAGTAACACTAACAAGAAATCATGAACTGGGAGTCAGGACACCTGAGTACTAGTCCCAGCTGTACCTGTGATCTTAGGCAAGTCATTTTCCCTTTCAGGAGCTCGACAAATCAGGTGGAACAGAGAAGTTAGACTAGCAGATGATGCCAGAGGTCCCTTCCAGTTCTAACATAAATGGAAGCTGACTATATTTCCCACTTAATCATCTCTGCACATGTAGCTTGCCGGAAGCCCTTTGAAACCTTCTTGATCTAGGAAAGATCTAAGCAAGGACAGCTCTGCTTTCCTTAGAACTCTGCATTAGTCTAGGAAGCTTGCTTTGTCTCTTTACTTCTCCAGCAAGATGCAGGGAGAGAAGCAGAAAGACAGAGTTGGGAAATTTGAGAAAGCCCCAGCAGGGTAAACCAGGGTAGTTTAGTATAGTGCGAAGAATATGGACTCAGGCATTCCAATCTTGGTTCAGCTACTTACAGAGTAATTTTGAGAAAGTTACTTAACCTCTCTCTGCCAGCTATGAGTTGCTATGAGAATTATACAAGTAACATGAAAATGTCTGACCATACAGTAGTTACTCTGTAAGTATTAGATCCTGTTCCAGTTTTTACCCTTAGCCCGTTCAAACTTTCACAAGAAGAGCAGTTTGAAATCTGGATCCACACCCTAACTTTCCTGCTTTATTCACCCAGCTATGCTTTATCTGGAGCTCTACTGGGGAGGCTGGCAGACAAAATCATACCTGTATCAGGATAGCTCCATTATTTTATTTAAAGTGTATTCCTGGGTCATCAATCCCTAGACCAAGGCAAAAATCCCGAGTTTTGGTATTCTCCTTTCTAGTCATGGATCTTTATCTCCTCATCGGTCAAATTAGTAAAATATTACCTGCTGTGTTTACCTCAGAGCTGTTGTGGATTAAGTGAGAGAACAATGTTTATGAAAACATTTTGTAAACTGTACAAATGCAGGACACATACTGCTGTTGGTAATTAAACAAGAAGACAAATTCCCACATCAAACCCAAATGACTTTTTAACCTTTCGCAGTTTTCCAGACCCTTGTCCCTCCGTTAGTTAAGAGTCCTGTGAGCATGTGTGTATAACCGCTGTTCTTTATCAGTAGCATGAGGCACAGATTACGGATTTGGACAACGCGCCATTGCACGATTTTCCGCCGGCTGAGTCAACGCTCTGTCACTTAACTTGGGTCAACAGGTTATTTACTCCAGCCTAGGTAATAATCTGGGTTTTGGAGTCACGTGGCAAGCGAAACCAAGCCATACCGCTCCCACCTGTATTCTCAGAACTTTGCCCCAACTTCCCTACTGTTTGTCTTCTGGTTCTTACTCTCCCTGTGGTCCCGCGGAACCCAATCCCCGCGGAACAAATAAATCCTCCGGCCCCATTGGCCTCGCTCCCTCTCCGACAGCCCATTCTGACCAGTTACGCTGGAGCCTGCCTCGAGAGGGTGATTCCATTTGCTCAATGCCCTGCCCCTCAACCCCTCACGTCTTTAGCTTCCAATCAGACTCAACTGTGGGACAAGCGCCATGGGGTGGGGGAGGGGATGCCGCCGTAAATCTTGGGCAATTCTGTTGATTCCTTCCTTCTTTGTTTTCAACCTTGCCACGATCTCCTTCATAAAATTGATGGCCGGAGAACAGTCACGTCCTGTGCTCCAGTCACAGCCATTTCTAGCCTTCCCTGAGGAGCCACCAAAACCCTCAGGAAGATTTGCTATCGCGAGGAGAAACTGAGGCAGAAAGGACGAGGCTGCCTAAGTTTTACTTAAGTCGAGTTTGCGGACGCTGAGCCTTTTAACCCCTTGCCCCCAGATACAGTGCCCCTACCGTGGCTCCTGGCTAGGTGCAACCCACTTTTTCCTGGTGTAAGGCTGGGGGCGGGGTCTAGCTGGGCAGGTCCAGGATGCGAGATCCTGGAGGAAAGAAAAGGAGCAGTGTTTGGGGCCGTCAGCAGGCTAGGCTGGCTTGGCAGGGCTGGACTCTTCCTAAGAGGTAATATCCAGGGGGGGCCCATTTGTCTCAACCAGAGAGATAAGGTGGGAGGCAAGATCTTCAGGTAACAGGTGAGGGGGCTGTGCACGTGAAGGGTTAGAGGAACCCAGAAGCTGTGGGGGGTAGGGGGGTGGAATGCTACCATCCTCTCTCTGCAATTCTCCTCTCCTCCAGTGCCTCCCAGCAGAAGGATGGATTTCAGAACCCCTGAGCTGCTGGACATGTGGCTAGAGCCCCCAGAAGATGTCTTCTCAACAGGATCCTTCCTGGAACTGGGATTCCACTGTCCACCTCCAGAGGTCCCTGTGACTAGGCTGCAAGAACAGGGGAAGCAAGGCTGGGAGTCCAGTGGGGGCCTTGGCTGTGTGAGTGTGATGAGTGGAAGTGTTGGTGGGTTGAGACACACCTCTGATAAGAAGCCCAAGAGGCTTCAGCCTCCACATGGAGAGAGGTCTGAAGACAGAGCCCCTAAAATAGACATGAGCTGTAACAATGCCTATGTCCAAGGATAGAAGGGACTGAAACTGAAGCATGAAGGATCAAGGTTGATGTCAGGTAACATTTCCAGAATTCTTTCCTGTAAGCATCTATACCCTCTTCTACTGTAGGGCCTTCAAGAGAGTGAGCCTGAAGATTTCCTGAAGCTTTTCATTGATCCCAATGAAGTGTACTGCTCAGAAGCATCTCCTGGCAGTGACAGTGGAATCTCTGAGGACCCTGGCCATCCAGACAGTCCCCCTGCCTCCAAGGCACCCAGTTCCCCTGCCCTCTATGAGGTTGTCTATGAGGCAGGGGCTCTGGAGAGGATGCAGGGGGAAACTGGGCCAGCTGTAGAGCCCATCTCTATCCAGCTAGGTCAGTGTTCTTTGTGGGAAGAGGACAATGGCCCTTCAGGTCTAGCCCTAGCCCTGGGGTTAAGGGACTAGTGCTAGTGCCCAACCTGTGCCACTCCCAGACCCTGCTGTTGTCAGGGGTACCCTCCATCCCTTTTCTCCCAGCCACCTGTGTCTCCCTCAGATCAGCGGAGCCCACCACTTTTGATGCCTGATGCCTGCATGGTCAGTGAACTGCACCTTGATGCTCATGCCCACATCCTGCCCAGAGCAGGCACTGTAAACCCAGTGCCTCCCGTGACCCTGGTGAGTCTTGGGGTCAACTGGATCCAATACTCTCTGATACACACATAATATAGCCACACAGATGGGGAAAGGGGGTAAAGGAGGGGGAAACTGATGCTGAACTTTGTCCTAATTTTTGCGACGTCAGGCCTGAAGACTGGGGAGACATAAGCAGCTTTAAGAGCAGGAAAGGACAAGGGAGGCAGAGCCCTTGTGGGTAAGGTGATGATAACTCAGTTAAGGAGAAGGTGGAGTGAGGGAATCTGGGACTAGGGCTCAGGAGAAAGCCTGGACCTCTATGCATTGTTTGTTCAGTCAGGGCCATTGTCTCAGCCTTGGGTCAGGAAGTAGAAATGGGACAGGCCGCCTGGAAATCCAATTGGTTACTGGACACAGGGTATAGAAGCAACTGCAACTACGTTTCCACTGGAACATTTGTCCAGGGGCACCCACTGCCCAGGGCTACAGTGTAGGGAGTAACACTTCAGATACCGTCCCCAGGCTGGCTGGGCTGGTTCCTGCAGTGGGGGCGCGGAGGGGACCTTGCTCACATCACTGTTCCTTCTTTTATCCTGGAAAGGACTCCTTGTGTGCAAAAGGCAGGGAACAGGTTCTGGCCTCCCTGGAAATCTGTGGTTGAAGCTGGGGCCAGAAGCCAAGCCAAGTATCTTAGAATCCTGGGCTGTGGGACATTAGAAAGTCTGATCTTTCTATACTTGAGTTGCATCGAAAACACTGGGAGTTTGTGGTTGTTTTGTTTTTTAAATAAAACCCTCTAGGCCTCATTCTCAGAGATTTTGATTGGTGGATTGGGAGGGACACCCCTATAATAGTTCCACCAAATAGTTGCAGGAGCAAGAAGGGAGCATCAGGAAAAGGCAGATGGAAGAAATGGTTTAGCTAAAAGCCAAAGACCCATCAGGAGGCAAAAGCAAAAACTACTTCCTGTTAAGTCACAAAGTGAAGCATAAACCTTTCGAAAAGGAGTATTAGAAAGGCAAGTTACTCAGTTGGCAGGCTCATGTTAACCAGACGCCATCTACCCTCCCCATGCACTTTGTGATGAGAAGTAACTCAGTCTGGTTACCCTTGGGGAGTTCTTTGAGAGGAGACAGCGCTTCAGTCTGACAAGTAGGGCTCAGACCCTAGGGGAGAATGGGTCACTTCCCCAGGGAGCTCCCTGTGGTTGACCAGGTGACTGGATAAAATTCTCTGCCTAGTAGAAGTTAATGGCTGAAAGGGAATCATTTGCCTGCTGTAAAATAAAGCCTGATCTTTGCCTGCTGTTAGAATTAACCTTAGTGAGTTCCTCCACATCCTCTTCAAATACTCCTAAAGTTTGGGGAGATGTGCTCTGGAACACAGGCCCTCTCTAGCTTGCTCACAGTGCCAACGTCCTAAGTCTGTGGGCAAAGGATATGACAAAACCTCCTCTTGTTTTCCTTCTCAGCCTCAGGAGGTCCCTTTGGCTTGATCCAGAGCCCATCTGAATTAAGGTCCCTGCCCTTCACTTCACTTCATGATTATTCCTCAGTGCAAAGGGGAACAACGACCAGAAGGCATGCAAGGGGAGCGGCCTGGGCGATGGAAATGGGATGACCCTTTCCCCATTCTCATCACATCTCTTCCTCTTCCCCACCAGCTGCCCTGTCAAACCTTATTCCTAACAGATGAGGAGAAGCGTCTGCTGGGGCAGGAAGGGGTTTCCCTGCCCTCTCATCTGCCCCTCACCAAGGTAACATGCTTTCACAAAGGGCATCCCAACCCAGTGGCCCCACCATGGCTTCTGAAGAGCCAGAATCGCAGGGGCGAGTTGGGGAGTTGGGAGAGGTTAAAGCCCCAGGAATGACATACCCTGGCCCCCAGGCAGAGGAGAGGGTCCTCAAGAAGGTCAGGAGGAAAATACGTAACAAGCAGTCAGCTCAGGACAGTCGGCGGCGGAAGAAAGAGTACATCGATGGACTAGAGAGCAGGTATGTTTGGACTCACATTTCTGGCTTCCCATGCACCTCGTCTGGGCTCCCTTCCTTACTAAGGCAGGCAAGGTGAGGGACTCACATGATTGCAGAGCCTTGGTCTACCCTTCCACACTCCCTAGGGTGGCTGCCTGTTCTGCACAGAACCAGGAACTACAGAAAAAAGTCCAGGAGCTAGAGAGGCACAATATGTGAGTGAAAGCATAGTGTGTGCTTTGGGGGGAAGGGTGTGGCCCACAGGGACACCATTCTTGGGCCCTGGTTCCCAGATCTAACTCTTCATTCCTCCTTCCCCAGCTCCCTGGTGACTCAGCTCCGCCAGCTACAGATGCTCATTGCTCAAACTTCCAACAAAGCTGCCCAGACCAGCACTTGTGTTCTGGTACCATTAATCTACTTTCCATCTCCCCTTACCTCCCCCATCTTCTGCCACACTTCCATCCTGATACCCCTACTCCCTAGCCATACCAATCTTCCCATCCCTCATGACCCTAACTGCCCTGTGCTCCCTTTATTGTCCCCATAGCCCAAGTGTCCTCTTGCTTCTTCTCAGATCCTCCTTTTTTCTCTGGCTCTCATCATCCTGCCCAGTTTCAGCCCCTTTCAGGGTCTACCAGAAGCTGGGCCTGACGATTACCAGCCTCATGGAGGTGAGAGGCAAGGGCAGAGTGGGACTCTGTTCTTCAGGGTAGTCAAGAGGGGGAAGAGAGGTCCTGTCCTGTCTAGGATCCCCTGCCCAAGGGAGCACTCTACTACTGCCCTTTTTCCTTCACCCACAGTGATTTCCAGAAATATCCTGACTCACAAGGACATGACAGAAAATCTGGAGACCCCAGTGGTAGAGTCCAGATTAGGGGGGCCACCTGGGGGCATAAATGGCTCCACAAGTACACTACTTGAGAAGATAGGAGGGAAGCTAGGCCCCAGCCGGCGCGTCAGAACTGTGCTGCATGCAGATGAGATGTGAGCTGGAACACTTCCTGTCCCATTTCCCAGTCGCAGTAAGGAATCAGGGCTCCCCTATGGTTTTGCTTTCCCCTGAGATTCCCACTCAGGGTTCTTTGGCCTCAGGGGTCTAAATCACTTCAGGACACCCTAGATGTCTATATCCTGAGGCCCATACCCCGTGAGGGGACACCTCAAATACTTTTGTCGTGTATCTGTGATTTTATTTCTTCTTTGGGCTTAGGGTTGAGGGGAAACAGAAGTTTTGGTTGAGAAATAAACTTTTTGCTAAAACTGTATCCTGAATGTGGTAAATGAGTAGTAGAGGGGGGAAAGATACGTGTTTGGTAAACAGGGCTAAAGTTCCCATCCCCTTTCCCTCTCTGCCTCCATGACTTCTGCCCCAAACCAATTACAGTAGAGAAGGAAACTATTTTACTCTGTTTATTGTGCTCATTAATGATCCAAAGGAGGAAGATGGGAGAAAGGGGGTGCCACCACAAGGTTCCAAAGAACCAGGGGCATAAGCCAGTCCATTCTACTTTCTCTGTCTGAGGTAGGGTCGCTAAGACCCATATAAAAGGGGAGCAGGTAGCTATATGGACTCGATTTGCTTCCGGACCTTTTCCAGAGCCTTTCTGTCCAGCTGTCGCTGACGAATGATGACAAGGCAAGCGAAGACCAAGGCCACACCCACGACAGCACCTTCAAATTTCCAGAATAAGTGTTGTTCCATCACAGCTGAGCGGCAGCTGAGGGCAGGAAGAAACAGTTATTCCCAGGGAAGGTCAGATAGCCTCACTCTCTAATCTCTCTTCTACTTCAGCCTAACCAAGATATATCCAGGGGGAAAAGAGAAAACCAGATTCAGCCTTCTAATGTGTTTACAGTACATAAGTCCCACTCCGATATATCATTTCATTTTCTGGTGAGGGAAGCAGAGCTGGTGTTAACCAATTTTACTCATGAGAAAATATGGCCAGTAATATAGTGCTGAGGAGTAGAGTTGGGACTTGGGTTCAAGTAATTTGGCTCCAATATGCCATGCTACTTTTAGACCAAGAAGAAGAGGTGGGACTATCTACCTAAAGTCCTAGGAGCAGAGGTGAGCTAGGGGGTTTCAAGAAGAGAAATAGCACTTGCCTTTTGAACTCATTCCTCTTAGATGAGCTGCATGTGATTTTCTCCACATACCCTGTGGAACCACACTCAGGGGTGGTTTTCTGCCAGGAGAAAAGGACCAAAGCACATGTTAGGAAGGGGCAGCAGGAGAAGCAGAAAGGCTGCCAGTCGAAGGGGCAGGTGCCCAAGTGCTATGGCTCAGAGATGGTAGGCAACAGAGATCTAATGAAGAGTTCTGATGGGGATGGTGGAAGTGGCGGCTGCCTGCTTAGAAATGTGTGTTAGAAAGAACATTCCAGGGGCAATAGTCTAGGAGAGGTGGGGACAGGTTCCAGAGCCTACTGGATTAAAAATGAACATAACATGGTTATTAGCTAAACATTGCCTTAACTTGGAAAGAAAAGGGCACATTTTCGGGGGGAGATAAGTTAAGATTTGGACATATACTGAGACTGCGAGGAAAAAGACGAAAAGATAATGCAGAGGCCCACTTAGTAAGACTTAGGGACTGATTAGATGTGGGAAAAAAAGGGCCAGAAAACAGATACTCACAGCCTGGAAACTAGAACATGGAGCACACTCTTCTGCCACCACAGACTCTTCCACCAGCCAGCACGGCAAATTTGAGGCGCTCACTAAAAGGGAAGAGAAATGCCAGCCCCAGACCTCATTTAGAAAATATTTCTCCCAAAGCTTCTGCCCATTCAACTTCCCAGCACAGCTGAATGCCCTCACTCTCCATGGTGCCGCCCTTTTCCACCTGTGCTCTTGGTATATGGGAGGATGTAAAAACGAAACAAAACTATGGGGGCGCGGGGTTCTCAGGCCATCACCCACCTGACAGCTTCTCCTCCCGCACCGGCGCGTCTGCTTGGCTGCAGCGGGTGAGGGGGAAAAGCGCAAAAGTCAGAAACCAGAAACCAGACCCCCTCCCCCGCCACCTCGCCTCCGCGGTGCAGGGACACAGTATCCCTCATCTCCGGGGGCGGCGACGACCCGCTCCCCTCGTCCCCCCTTTTTCCCTGCCCTCAGCCCCTCCTCACCAGAGCTTTAAGGTGACAGCGCAGAGCAACCAGCAGAGGTGGCGGCCTGGGGGGAGGCCACGCCTCCCCGCGCCCGCAGGCATGGGGCGCTCAGGGTCGCGCCTGTCCGCTCGACTGGCCTCGTGCCCCGGCCGGAGCGCAGAGGCGGCGCTCGTTCCGCAGCCCTCCGGAGGTTCCAGGTCAGGGCTGCGAGATGCTGGGGCTGCCTATCGGGCCAAAGGCTCTACCGGGGCGTCCCCATGGCCACGGCGAGAAGCCAAGGCGCATCGATCGTTCGGGGCTGCGCGCCCGGTCTTCGGCCGCTCGTCGGGCCTAGCAGCCCCTCCCCAGCGCTCCCGCTCGCGGCGCGGCCATCTTGCCCCGCCGAGGATCCCGAGCGCGGGCCGGTCGGCGGGGGCGGGGGCGCGCGAGCTGCCGCCTGTCGGGGCTTGTAGTCTTCCGGGTGGTGGCGGCCGTCACGGCGCCAGTGCGACGACCGCGGCCATTGGCTCGCGCCGCGGGGCATGCTGGGCCTGGCAAGCCTCCGCCGGAGCGGGAAATGGCGGCTGTGAGGCTTGCCTGCTCTCTCGCTTCGCTGCTCCCTGGGCTGTCGCCTCCTTACCCATTCTGGGCTCGGTCAGCAGCGAGACGTAAAAAAGAACAATCCGTCGTCCTCTCAGGACTTTGCTCCCTCCTTAAAACCCGCGATTCACCATTCACCCTCAGCCTTCCGGACACTCTTCCCCATCTCATCCTTCCCGCCTCGGTGGATGGTCAAGGGAGAAGGGGGGTTGGCGGCCCAGGGATGGAGGCGAAACTGCACTTTCTCCCGAGACCCACAGTGAACCTGAAGGCTTCCCTTGTCTCTTTGCTCCCACTCAGCTCTAGTACTCAGATGTCACCTTCTCTTAGCTTAATTGCTAAATTACTCCCCAGAACTGGTCCTTTGAATAACCTCAAATGTTCTCGGCTCTCTCTTGCTCCTATATAATGGAATAATCTTTAGTGCAACGAGGAAAGTACGAGATTTGAAGTCCCAATGAGTGTTGTGTCTAAGGTGCTTATGAGCTATGTTACTCTAGGATGGTATCTGGTTCTCAGTGTTCAACATAAAATGGAAATGCTAATATGCATTTTTAGGGTTTTTTGGCGAGATGCAAATCACCTGTGTATGAAAACACTTTCCTTATTCTCTTCTAATTATATTGCCTTACATTTGTATCATACTTTTTGAATGCAACATTTAGCTCATTTTGATCCTCCTCAGTAATCCTGAGGAATCAGAGTTGGTATTATCCCTGCTTTATGAGTAAGCTCAGAGTATAAGTGACTTGTCCAAGGTCACCCAGCTAGTGAGTGAGAGCTGAGGCTTGAGCCCAGACTTTCAACTCCAGGGCTAAGGATTTATGTCTGTTTTCCATCCCTATGCAGTTAAACCTTGATACATATCCAGAACCTCAGTGACTTGACCCACACTCTGGGTTCATGCTTTACTGTCTGGGAACATATTGGTCACTATCCTAATGCTGCCAGAATTGTCCTAGTTTTACATATACGTATGTCAGCAGCCTCCCAGACAACTGGATCATGTGAGTTTAGTTTTCTTAGATGCTCAGTAGATAGATAGGAGGTACTTAAAATAAACTTTATATAATAATAATCTGGACCCCACTTCTCCAGATCAAAGGGCTTATCCCCATACTTGTTTCTTGCTAACTCTGTTCCACATTCTCCTCCCCCATAAGTTTTTCTAGCCTAAAGACCACAGCTCCCTCCTCTCCCCAACAGCCCTAAGGACTAAAGCACTTTATTTTGGGATTAACAGCGTATCTGGCGCTATATCCCATAAATTCTGTCTTCCCCCTAAAACTTAAAGCTGGCTTCTCAAGAGCAGAAACTATCAGTCTGTGGAAAGATCATTGGGTGGGAGTTGGGAAAAAAAAAGCCTGGTGAGGGCTGAGCTTTAATTTTGCTTGAGACTATTTATGCATTCCTTTAAGTTAATTATCTGCCTGTTTGTGTCAATAGTGGTATGTTGGGGCCGGCCCGGTAGTGCAGCAGTTAAGTGTGCAGGTTCCGCTTTGGTGGCCTGGGGTTCGTTCGCTGGTTCGGATACCAGGTGCAGACATGGCACCGCTTGGCAAGCTATGCTGTGGAAGGCGTCCCACGTATAAAAAAGTAGAGGAAGATGGGTTAGCTCAGGGTCAGTCTTCCTCAGTGAAAAGAGGAGGATTGACAGCAGTTAGCTCAAGGCTAATCTTCCTCAAAAAAAAAAAAAAAAATAGTCGTATGTTACAGAAAGTAGGGTGTGGGTTTTTGCCCAACAGTTTTTAGCTATAATATAAGTTTTGGCTGATATCTTTTAGTATTGTTACTCTTTACCCAGTCCTACCATGTCTCATGACAAGCTGTGAGATTTTATAAGATCTCACTTCCAATAGCTGTCCCAAGCAATTGAATAGGATCTCTACACTGAAACTGGATTTTAAAATACCTGCTCTGGGGTATGATGAAGATATCAGTCAGTTTTCTTCCTGGGATTCATAAGATGCAAGTCTTTCCTCATCTCGTGAGCAAATTAAACCAGCTGGGCAGTTGACTACAGAGCTCAAACATAAGCCACACATAAGGATCATTACCTCATTGAAGTTTGGATACTTAATACAGTTATCAAATCATTTCCCAGGTTCTTCTCCCATCACTGTCGTACTTTTTTTGAGTGTTGTCTTTTACCAACAAAACAATAGCACATGGGGCCAGCCCCGTGGCCTAGTGGTTAAGTTCTGCTTCGGCAGCCCAGGTTCAGTTCCCGGGCACAGACCTACACCACTTGGTGGTGGCATGCCATGGTGGTGACCTACGTACAAGATAGAGGAAGGCTGGCACAGATGTTAGCTCAGGGAAAATCTTCCTCAAGCAAAAAGAGGAAGACTGGCAACAGATGTTAGCTCAGGGCCAATCTGCCTCAGCAAAAAAACCCTCAGCAGCACAAAAAACGCTTTGCTGCTGACTCAAGGGTTGTGCCACAGATTTGCATACTGTAGGCTTGGGGATTTCTTAAATGCCTTGAACATAATATCTATGAATAAAATGAGAGGATTTTTCTAATAGTGTTTTGTCCAAACCAAACCTGACATTTTCATTGTCCTGTTAAA